TTTTTTTTTTTTTTTTTTTTTTTTTTTTTTCTTTTGTCTACTCCCATTTGGTTGAGATATCCGTTTGAATTTGTTGTTTAATGGTATCTATGAATTCTGGTCCATCTAGCCGAGCTCCTTCCCACTCATAAGTACATCTCCTCAGACAGATAGGCTAAGCCCTTAGAACTGCTATCCTCCCGAGAGTAAAAAGGTTTCTGTGTGAAATCATCAAAAACGTTCTGAAACACAGGTTTCCAGCAGGATCGCCTTCCAAACCCAAGGGATGGGATTCGTGTTTGCAACTGACTCCAGATGCGATCCCACCATCTCCGTAACCAAATGGCTCCTGGTCATTGCAAGAACACGTGCTCAATTGTTTCAGGAATCATCTTGCTTGGGGATGCCCTGGGAAGATACCCTGGGCGGTGGGCGGTGGATGAACACTGGGAATCCGATGTGTTCTCTTTTATAAAAAGAAATAACTATGGCTGCATCATACTTCTCATTTTTTTTAATTTTTAATTTATTTTTGGGAAAGAAAGCCTTGTTGCAAGCCCACTATCCCGGCGGTGGTGAGAGAACTGCCAAGATTGAGGGCTTGGCTGTGAGGCTGCTCCATCTATTGGTGGGGAGCGACACCTGCTGGAATTCTGGTCTAACGTCCCTTAAGACAGCATTTGGCCTTCCAACCATAAAGGGGAGGAGCGTGAGTGAGTATTTGTTGTAAATTCTTTTGACTTGCCGGTGGAATTGGAACTGGACTGAAGGTTCTGTTTAATCCACCAGTACTTGGCCCAGCCATCGGCCGCGGAAAAAAAATAGAGTAGAAACGTTTCTAGTTGGATGAATTTGGGCGCTCCAGTAAACGTTGGATGAATTTGGGCGCTCCTGTAGTAGCCCGTACGTTTCCTAAAATTGTGGCGCGTTAACCGGCAGGACTCTAGGAAGTACTGGTGGTTCAAAAAAAAAAGAAAAAAAAAAAAAAGAAAAAAAAAAAGAAGAAGAAGACAGCATTTGGCCTGTGGGCTCAGTGGTTAGTGCGCCGGTTGTCGAGGCCCATTGTAGTCTGAGGTTGTGGGTTCAAAACTCCGCACCTCTGCGCAGAGACACCGCCGTCACACCAGCAGGCGTTTACATAATGCATGCATTGGTCACTTGCACACCCCCTTAGGCTGACTCAGGTAACCAATTACTGACATTGCCTGTGCACCACCCAAGGGTTAGTCATGGTTGTTGTAGGTCGGGTCTTGATCCTGTGTGGGTTGCTTGAGGATGTTGGCTGTTGGTTGTTCTGATGATCTCCTCACTCTGGCACATCGTACTCTGGTACCATTTCGGATTGTAGCACACACGGTAGAATGCAGCTGTTACATGATAATGTATAGGTTCGAGTCTGGCTGGGAACTTCGGTGGTCGGTTTGCAGCACAGATAGGTCTATTGTACACAGCACACATATGGATACATATAGGTTGACAAACATGGCTAATAGACACATCACATACATAGCACACATACACTTTTTACACACACACATAGCCTCTGGGCAGACACACACACACACACACACACACACACACACACACACATACACACACACACACACACACACACGCACACACACACACACACAGACCATAGGGCCAGGGTAGGGAGTCTAGTCTCAACTAGGGTCTCATGGGGGCTTAGGTCTTGGCTACGGGGAATCTTCAGATACGGTCTGTGATGTATTCCGGTGAGGATTATAATAGACTATTAATAGTATAGGTGGAACTGGAGATATTGCTTGCACCTGGTGACTGAAGTATTCGTGCGACAAGGCTTGCTCGACCAGGCTTCCAGTGGGGCTGGGTACGAACCACCTACTAGCCCTGCTGCCTATAACCACTGTTCGGTCCAAGTCATCCTCTAGGGAAGGGGTGATAGTCCTGAGTGACTGACACTGAGGTAGGATAGTGGTTTGTTGTTGAAAAGGGACGCTAGACCCGGTTTCCAGCAGGTGCAGCTCCCCACCAATAGATCGAAGCAATTTATCAAAAAAAAAAAAGAAAGAGGTAGGATAGTGGGAATGGGGGTACACTAGGAGAAATGTCGTGAGGTTGGGTAGGGTGGTAGGTCCACAGACAATTGTCAGGACAACCACTGGCTGATTGAGTCGGAATAGTACTAGGCTCCCAAAGGAAAAAAAAAGAAAAAAAAAGAATAGTACTAGAGGGCGACCACCTGGGAAGCTTACCGGTCTCGGCGTGGTTGAGTGTGAACAAGTGGGCGCCTTGAAGTCTTCGGGCCGGGCGACGGATAGGCGTCATGAAATACCACTACTGGGTCTAACCTCCCCCGGTAGCCATCCGCTTCAGCATGGCCGGAATAGTACCAGGAAGGGTGGCCTCCTGGGAAGCTGTCTGGTTCAGGCACTCCTACGACGGCAACCACCGTGGGTCGGAATCTGGCCTCGTCAACAACCTGGATTTCAAAAAAAAAAAAAAAAAAAAAAAAAAAGGACAGCATTTGCATGCAGTTTTATTTGTTTTATTCGTTCCTGTCTGTTCCCGAGGCTGTGGCCTTTTTCTGTCTGGTTTGAAGCTCTCATCTTCCCCATAGGGCTGCAGGTCTTACCCATCCTTAGGCTATCGTAGAGCCCCTTCTTTCTCCTGGCCCAGCCTACTTCCTGGAGGTTCCAGATTACCTCCTTTTCCAAGTATCTCTGATAATCCCCTCTACCTGTCCTGAATCCAGGAATGTGCAGCCCTTCCCTTAGTTGTGCCCGCTCCCCTCGGGGGAGCCCAGACTGAGTACCATTTATGAACTTCCATCAGCTCCTGGGGCTATGGCCATCACTGTCTGCTCTGAAGCTCCCTTCCTTCCCGTTACCCTCCTTGCCGGTGAACTCCCTCTCTTCCTGGTCCTGCCATTTCCCAGGAGTTTCCAGACCAACAGTCCATCCTTTCCGGTTTACAACCGTGCCTGTCCGCTTGGTCTGTCCCAATACTACAGGTATGTGCAGACCTTCCCTTTGATTGTGAGAGGGTTAAACTTTGCACCCACCACGCATCTTTATCAGAGTCGAACTTCAAAAGTCAGTACCACCATAGCCGACAACATAATGCAGTCAAGGTGCCTATGTGGCTATGAGGGTTGAGACTCTCTCAGGATGACTACAGTTTCAGAGGGTCAAAAAAGCCCCTTCATAGCCACACCTCCCTTTAAATTTGCCGAGGTCTGCTCCCTACCCTGTCCTCGCCTCTTACAGTTCTTTCTCTTTTCACTGTCACAGTGTCTTCCCCTGGCCCCAGCTGCTGTAGCCCTTCCCAAGTTGGCGGTTTCCCCGGTGTGTTGTGTTCAAAGCTTATGTCCGAATTCATTGCTGTGGCCCGTAGAAAGGTTGGGACTCGGACTTTCTCCGCTAGAGTCCAAATTGAATTGGGGCAGAAGGCCTGCCCTTGGTTCACTAGTCGCCTCCTGTCGATGCCTGTTTCCTGTCCCTCATAACTCTTATCTCTGCAGCCCTTCTTTCCAATGGCATGTCTGTCCCAGTACCCTCCATGCATCCATCGTTGCCCTCTGTCCGAGTTTCCTCCTTTCGGCCGGGCGTTCCCCTCCATTTGCCCCCCAGTCTCTTTGTTCGCTGTAGGCGACTGTACTGTCGGTGGGACCGTCTCTGTCCGCCCCTTCGGTCTGCCCATCCAATCACTCTGACGAAGCCATTCTACAAAGAACCACTCCCTTCCTTCTTCTGTTGACTTAACTGTTCACTGGAGTGTGGGGTCTGGGCCTGTGTTGTTTGATTGTCATCTGTGGCACTGTCCCATCTCGTATAGCTGCCAGAATCCTTGTGGGCTTTTTTTGGTGACCACCCCGCTCGGAAGGGGGAGAGATAAGGGAGGGATCAGCCGGGAAGGATAACAAAGGAGGGGGGGGTAGCAGCATAGGGGACAGAGAAGTGGGATTCAATTTGCAGTCCAAACAGGTTCTTGCGGTCTTGTCGGCGGTGGAGTTTGAAATACAGTTTTGTGACAAACGTTTCGGCAGAGTTGTGTCAGTGGCCCCATCATAGTACAGGGCCTTGTAGGACCTAGCCCTTCCATTGCCGCGGGAAAAATTCAAGCTCTTTGATCTGATAGATTGAATGGATGATGGGACGCTGGGCCCGGTTCCCAGCACGTGCTGCTCCCCACGAATAGATTGAAGCCTTGTTTTCAAAAAAAAAAAAAAAAAAAAAAAAAAAGATAGATTGAATGGCTGAAACTTTCCCCGCGGCAAGTGCAGAGGGCCAGGGCCTAAGAGGCCCTGGAAAAGGTCCTAGTACTAATAGGGCGAGCGGGTAGTACCATCTGAGCCTGGCTGTGACTTGGGCCAGATTCCGGCCTTCCCTGACCCCTCGCCCTGGGCCACGCCCGAGATGTCTCCACCGCACCCCATGTGGGTTCTTATCAACTCGGTTGGCGACTAGACTGCATTTAAAACTCCACTGGCGACTAGACCGATCTATACTTTATATAAAGCATAAAATAAAATAAAATAATCAATTGAAAATCAAAACTAGGTTTTTGATGCGACCATAGTTCCCTGAAAAAGAGAAAAAAGACAGGACAAACATGATTATGTCCTAAGAAGAAGAAGAAGAAGAAGAAGAAGAAGAAGAAGAAGAAGAAGGCAAAGTAGGCGCCCATGGCCAAGGAAAAGGCAACGGGAGTGATGAGGAAGGGGACCTTGAAGAAGGCAGTGAAGAAGGCGGCAAGAAAAGCAAGGCGAAGAAGAAAATGATGGTGGTTTACTGATGACTCTGGACGACTCTTATGTGTCTCTGTACCCACTGGCAGATGGAATATCATTCACCACTCTTCCGGTGGTATGGTACCTCATTGCCAGGAAAGTTCTTCCTAGCAGTATTTCCTTGTATGATACAGCATATGTCCTCATGGAGATAGCAGCGTCCTTTGCTGATGGTGGTCGCGTAATCGCTGGAGCCAAGGCGGAGTACTTTTTCTGGAGACCTATTACAGCAATAAGGTAAAATTTAATGTCAAAATGACCACTTTGATGCTCATTGAATTTCATCTTCTTTGTCTTCTGTTTTTTCTTTTTTCTCGTCACCAAGAGATAGCCTTAGACCTCACAATCACTATTCTCACTGTTCTCAGACATTCTCAATTTCTGTATAAGGGACGCTGGACCCGTTTTCCAGCAGGTGACGCACCCCACCAATAGATGGAGCCTCCCCCAGTTTGCTAGTGGTGTCTGCTCTTATCGACCTCACTAGCAACTACTTGGGGTGTTTTAAGAAAAAAAAAAGAAAAAAAAAGAAGCCTTAAACCACTAGTGCCTTTCCCCGCCGCTATCTGTTGGCGCTGGAGCCAAGGCGGACCCATCTGTTGGTTCAGCAAAACCCATCAAAGTGCAAACACAAAACACAATGCCCTTTCCACGGTGATCGAGTCTCTCCTTGGTATTTCTGCTTCGTCCGAGTGTTCATATGAATTCTATGAAGATAACTACTACCCCCATGAGAGTGCTTGGCTGCAACTTGCTTCCCTACCTTCTTCCCCTGAATACAACCTACGGTAATTATAGCAGCTGTATCTGGGGTATCTTTCAGTCGAAATACAGCTATAATGACCGTATGGTGTATTTGGGGGACAAAGGTAGGAGGCATATGATGAATGATCAGAGTCTCCGTCCCGTCGGCTAGCTCAGTAGAATTCATGCCTGAGCGGCACCGCGTACTAGGTGCTGGGTTGTGTTCCCGCTTCCGTCACACCCAGTGGCTTGAAAAAAAAAAAAAAAAACAAAAAAAAAAACAAAAAAAAAAAACAGTGGCTTGAGGAGGGGTCGAGGCCAGTCAACGCTGGTCAGCTTGCTGGGGTAAGTTTTTTTTTTTTTTTTTTGAATAGCCCTTCGACGGAGAAAAGGGCCGTTAAAAATTGTTGTAAGCTACTCAGTGTGCTCAGCCCACGGTATTCTTTAGTAAAAGGCGAAAGAATGATGGAGCTTTTTATTAAAAAAAAAAAGAAAAAAAGAAAGAAAGAATAGTACGCCAAGTGAGCTGGGCGTGCAGCTGAATACTGGGGTAAGTTGTGTCACACTGTAACCTGACACTGCTGACAGTGTGTCTCAGACTCCCAGATAGACTGTTCTTTCTTTGAGAGCTGCACATCCTCAACGAATGGTTATCGGTTAGTGACCCCCACCTCGCCACCCAGGAACTCCCAAACACCCACCCATGCCCACGTCCGTCCTTTTGAGAGTGAGGTTATCAGTTGTTTTTTTTCTTTTCTTTTTTCTTTTTTCTTTTTTTTAATTCCTCCTGCGCCAACAGATAGGAGTGATGGTAAGAGCATGCACTCCTACCTATCTTGCAAAGGGCTTCAGTCTATTGGTGGGGAGCTACACCTGCTGGAAAGCGGCTCTAGCGTCCCCTGAGATACATCGTTGAGTTGGTAAAACGACATCCCTCATGAACTATGAATACTGCATACTTCTGATACTATGATGATGATGATGATGATGATGATGATGATGATGATACTGATGATAATGAGCTGATGGTGTTGACGGTGATGATGTTCATTCAGAATCTATGGTTAGATAAAAACTACATCAGCACACCCTGGCCTCACAATCTATGTCATTGAGCAACTCCTAGCCTCCACCCTATACCAAAGACGGTATCATCCCAACCAATACCAACCATAGCTGACGTGTTCTCACCACCTAGACTATACCCGGCCCCTTAGGTTGTCATGGCAGCATCCCCCAGTTCACCACAGGATTGTCTTCCTCCCTCGATGACTCCCCGGATCTTTCTGGCAGATCTCAAAGCTCCCTGTTTCTCTTCCCCCAATTCTCCTCCTCTCTTCCCCCGCTCTTCCCCCGCTCCAATGTCCTATCCACCCAATTCACCTCCTTTCTTCCCCCGCTGCAATTTCCTTGCCATACTGTCCCTCCCAAGATCAATCCCCACCACTACACTGGAGGAGATTCTCTCCAGCCAAACCATCATTCGCTTCTGGAGACTCTGAGGTGAAGCTATGTACAGTCCTTATGGATGCATCTACTAGTAGACTGAAATTTGACCCCTTTTTTTTTTTTTTTTTTCCCCCTTTAATTTTCTTTTCTCCTATTACACCTATAATGATGACTTTTTTTATTTTTATTTTTTTCATAAAGGGCGATGGCCCTGAGATATCATCATTGAGCTGACCGGCTCCAGGCAATTCAGGCAATTCACAAATCTCTGTTTTTTTTCATCTAGAACCATCATCTGGATTCGAACTCTGGTCTGTATTTCAACAGTTCATGGTTGTGGTCCCCACTGAGGTAGGCTCTTGGGTACCTATAATGATGATACATTCCATTTGGGCGAAACCTATCCCGTTCTTCCTCTCCGTCGTCCCGATTTATGTGCGACATGAAACCAGTGCATATACACTATACGAGGTGGAAAACCCCGCTCCCGCAGCCCATGACGTCCATGTCCTAATCCTCATGCTTCTTCTTCTTCTTTCCTTTTTTTTTTTTTTTTTTTTTTTTTTTTTGAGAAGAGGCCACCATTTAACTAGTGTAGTAGTCTCCGTAGTTTTGGTCTTACGTGCATGTGGAGAGTGGTGGAGAGAGGCCCATGGTCCAAACACGAACTGTCCCCGCACGAAGGGGTGACAGGGAACGAGCGAGTTGGGCTCGCTACACAGCTCGCCGCGCACCAGCATTTTTGTTTTAGTGCATCACAACGTGAGCTCAGGATGAGTTACTTGTGAACTTTGAAAGTTTCAAGCAAAAACCTACCGTCTTCCCCCGAATATAATGCACCCTGAAAATGAACGTATGCAAGGCATGTTTCCGGCCCGATACAGTCAAAATGAGGGTGCGTTGTGTTCGGGGAAAGACGGTAGTAGAAAGTTTCAAGCTCTTGAATGATCATACTGGTAATAGGTATTATGAATCTAGATGATATCTTCTTTTTTTTTTTCTTTTTTTTTCTTTTTTTTTGGAACATCAACGACGGGTGTAGGGAGGGTGCTGATAAGAGAAGACATCCCCTCTACACTTGCCGCTTTTGGATGACTCCCCGTTCCATTGGTGTGGGGAGCTGAGCCTTTTTTTTTTTTTTTTTTTTTTTTTTTTTTTTTTTTTTTTTTTTTTTTNCTCCTCCCTCCTCTTCTTCCTCCTTCCTCTTGTAGCGTTTCGTTTGAGTTGACTTGTCGTTGTTGTTGTTGTTGTTGTTGTTGTTGTTGTTGTTTTTTTTTTTAATCAGGCCCTAGCTACTAGTGATAGTGATACGAGCGCCCACCACTAGTGGCTTGGCCACTCACTGGCTCCATTCTTTTGGTGGGGAGCTGAGCCTGCTGGAAAATGGGTCCAGCGTCCCATTACATCTTAAAATGGAGACCAAGTTACAGCCTTCATTAAACAGTAATCTTCGATGAACTTAGAAATTCAAAGTTTCAAGCTCTTGAATGATCATGCCGGTAGGTACTATGAACCTACTAGAAGATTTCTTCTAGTATGTTTCTAAATTAATGCTAAGGATGAACCTAGTAGGAATTTGTGCTTGTAACTTTATTTAACTCAATTGATGCTACCTGCCTTTGTTCGTCTTCTGCTTCTGCAGGCAAGGGGACTCAGAAAATAAGCCTGTCAAGGAATGGACGCCTACGGTACCCACTTTTGAAGATCCAGAGTTTCCCAGTGGCACAGCATTTGTCTCTAAGGGGGGTATACTAGCACTAAAGAATTACTTTGGCACAGAAAATGTGACCTTCAACTTGACGGTAACCGTTCCATTTGGTGGTCAGAATATCACTAGGACGTACGGATCTTTCTCTCAATATGCCGAGGAGATGGGACTCTGGAGGTACGCAATCAACATGAACACACCCACCCATTCATCTATCCATCAGGGTAACAGACTCTGAGGTGATTTTTTTTTTTTTTTTTTTTTTTTTTTAAGCTGCTCGGGTGACTAGGCGGGGTTCTTTTCATTCACGTTTGATAATCTGTGAAGTCAGTCTTGCAAACTTCTTTTTCCATTAAATTGTGTTAAGCGACCAACGTGAATGTACTATGTACTATGTAGTACACGGAAAAAGCACGTGAATGTACTATGTACTATGTAGTACACGGAAAAAGCACTCCCAGGAAAATGCAAGCAGCACATCCATGGAGCACTTTCCTGAACCACCAGTACCTACCGGTTGGGGCGGCCGGATCGGTCTGCCCCTCCGGTCCAAATCCAGGGGGTACGAAAAATGTGGTAGGTACTGGTGGTTTAAACCACCAGTACCTTTCCCTGCTTGAAAAACAATGTGCGGCGCCGGATATCATGGGAGGCGAGCAGGCTCGGGACTACCGGCCCAAAATAGCTGGTGGCACCAGCCAAAATGAGGCCCTCACCGGTTTGTTTTTCTTTCAAATTGGCGCGCGGGGCAGTTTTAGGCTCGGCATCGGTAGCCGAGAAAGGTTACCGTACTTGTGGTTTAAACCACCAGTACTTGTCCGAAGTGCGGACATGCACGCACTGGGACGTGATGGGATGAACGGACGTGCCGCGGATGGATAAATTTATCCGAAAAAGTTGAAACGGATCGTCTCGGCACTGTGGCAATGACCCCCTCAGTCCAAGAAGGAAACGGACATTAATTTCTCCAAGAACTTGGTCTTTGATTGGTTTTGTTGAGATGTAGGAATCTGAGTCTACTCTTCACCTGTGATTTTCTGAGTCTGTGGAACTTACTGATGATATATGTATGCGGGTGCGTTTGCCTGTGTCTAGGTCGATGCCCCCATGATATGTATGCCGGTGTGTTTGCCTGTGTCCCTATGCTCACTCTGTTTCCGGTGTTGTGTTTCTGTGCCTTGAACAAAGGTTAGGTTAGTGTATAGCTGTAGTTACAGGGACAGACCAGAAATTTGGCTAAAGGGGGTCTTAACGGAAATTCTAGGAGGGCCAGTGGTAGAAGCAGAATTTACCAAGGACCTGAGAGGATTTTCAGAGCAAATAGGAGAGAGGCCGTGCAGTCTGGCAGGGTAGCCAGTAGGTAATTAATGGTACCAGGAAGTCTAGGTACAGAGTCGGTAGGTAGGAGAGAGAGAGAGAGAACAAGAGAGAGAGAGAGAGAGAGAGAGAGAGAGAGAGAANAAGAGAGAGAGAGAGAGAGAGAGAGAGAGAGAGAGAGAGAGAGAGAGAGAGAGAGAGAGAGAGAGAGAGGAGTGCTTAAGGGGAAGTTTTTGCACACGGGCAGTGCTTGGCCCCACAGGCCCTTCCTTTACAATAGCATTTTGTAGGTGGTCTTAACTTTCGTTTTAAAGAGATCCACCATGATATAGCATAATCTTCTGTATTTTTTCATTAAATTTTACTCATTTGTTATGTGCCTGATTGGAAACGAATCCAGCATAGCATACACATGTTCCCCTACACATGCGAAATTGCAAGTAGACTTGGAGAGAGAAAATCCACACCAAACCGGATGATGAAATTGCACAGCGGAAGCACACAAATACCAAGACTAGAATTGAAACGAAATCAATTCTAATTTACCRTCYCYCCCAGTTCAATCAACAGCACAACTCCAAGAATCCCAACCACGTTAACAACATCTATGAACAAATTATTTACAGAGTTTCATCGAGGGAGACTTCTTCTTCCTCCCACACCTTCGAGCTCACAGCTATGGCGCAGGCCTGCGCCCAACCTATCAAGCCCACTAATCGCCACCAACCCTTGTATCCCCAAACAGTCACTCAGCAGTTCAACCGCGATGCCCACTGCAGATGACGTGTCCGATCAGCAAAGGAGGGAAGCTCCCTAGACGAAGAAGAAGCACAGCAGCTCGATGAAGATGGTGACCTGCCACTTCGAAGCAGGCATGGAAAAGCTGCTTCGATGGCAACTGTCAAAACCCCAACAGAACAGCGGTGGAGGAAGCATCTCACAAAGCAGGGCCTGATGCCCCGGGGCCAATTCCACACAAGCCAGGTAAACCCAGCTGTGGCTGTCAGCTTCCCTTCAACGAGGAGGGAGGAGCAGCACTTGAAATTAACGCAGCTTCAGCAGCGACCTCCAGCAGCACTTCGTGGAAAAAAAATGACGAACAGAACCCCTAAAACTTTGCCCTCGGTACTTTTGTTCATCTCCAGCCTCCCAGACCCGACAGCCTACAGCTTAGTTTTGCATCTACAGCCTASGACTGTATCTAGACAGAAAACAGCACCAGAGGGGAGAGGCCTASGTTCCTCCTACTGAAACAACCCAAAACAGCCCGAAGGGTCTATGACCAGCCAACAGAGACTGCTGCTGACAGGTCTAGGGATCGAGTCCAACAAGGCTCAAAATAAACAGGCAAACACAGCCAACAAGCAAACAAGCAGACAAACAGGTTGCGGGATCAAATCCCAAAGGAATCAAAACCAGGCAACATCAAACAAGGTTAGTGTACAGCTCGCATGCCACTGCAATTCATTGCACATTAGCATCATTATCTGAGATATCATCAGTTTCATCAGTATCATCATGGTCATCTTCATAACCATTTGAGGGACGCTGAGCCCGCTTCTCAGCAGTTTCGGTTCGATTACTCCGGGCAGACTGTGAGGACCCCGGCCTCAATCTTATTATTGGTAATATCAGCCTTAGGCACCGGGCCCAGTTAAAAAAAAAAAAAAAAAAAAAAAAAACCATGGTTTCCTGTCCCTTTCTTCCTTTTCTAATCCATTTCCATTTGTCCGCGCCAATGGGGAGGTTCTTAGTTTGTTCACCCTTATGGCCAATGGGGAGGCTCTTAGTTTGTACACCCTCAATGCCCTTAATGCCCTCAGCTCTCATCGTCAATCCAGTGGAACGGAATGGAGCAAGGGGATTTGTTGAACGTGTCTCTTGTTCATCCGTTCACTCGTTGTTATAAAGAAGAGCACTATTATCGTGAGGGATGACGATGGAGGAGGAAAGAAGAGAGGATTAGAAATTGATTTCCCTTCTTCTTCTCCTTCTACTCCTCCTCCTCTTCCTCCTCCTCCTCCTCCTCCTCCTCCTTATTTTCTTCCTACTCTTCTCTTCTTCGTTATATCCCACTCCTGATGAATTGGGGTGAATGGCTTTCCCTCGAGTTGAGTTTTGCATGAAGAATGGGGCAGGATATCATAACAGAGGGAAGAATGGAGGTGGCATAAGCAAAGAACAATGTTTAATAATCACTCCTTCACTTCTGTGACTCCTATTTACTGATGTTTTTGCGCCTGCCTATCCGTCTGTCTCTACTCTCGCACCTCTCTCTCTCTCTCTCTCTCTCTCTCTCTCTCTCTCTCTCTCTCTCTCTCTCTCTCTCTCTCTCTCTCTCTCTCTCTCTCTCTCTCT